CGTCTGTTCCGTCCGCTGTCGGTGATTGCTCCGGATCCGATGCGGTGTCTCCGCTGCTGCGAGGCCAGTTGCCGTGCCCAGATATCGCTGGGCGATCCCATCTTCGTCGCCAGTTGTTCTATCGCGGCCAAGACAAACACGCTCACACCGTAGTTCGGTAATGAAGCAAAAAGACTGGTGTATATGGAGAGCATCGATTCTTAAGTAGCCTCGGCTTATTGTGCTTACGTCATCGTGACGTGCTCGTTACAACATGTGGTAGCTTTGCGAAAACTGTAGTGGCGACGTTGAGGTCTGGAACCCCACAAAAAAATGCCCCACTAGTGCACATGGGTTATCCACGTTTAACGCCATTCTTGATGTACAGGGAGTTACCGAAAAACGGAAAATACGTTAAGTATCGCAGAAAGCTCAAACTCCGCGAGGATGTGACGCTAGCGGTTGGGATAAAACGCGAAAGACTGAGAACATGACGTTGCCTGGATTAAGAGATAATTGAGAAAATGGAAATTTCCCTACGGGCCGACGTCCATCTAAGCCTAATATCGCCAAAACAGAAGCCGACATTGTGGGCACTTGTGGGATCGATAATAGTGGAAACCGCTTGCCAGCAAGTAAGATTATATTGTCTTCTTTGTTGCTGACAAGCTTCTTGTTTCTTTGTTTGTTTTCACTGAATTTGATGCTACAGGCACCTACAATATCATTCCTCGTGGAGCCTGCTGAGCGTCATGGAGAACCCTTAAATCACTAAATTTTAGGTCGGCTTGAAGCACGTGGGGAGCCCGGGAGAGCGCTAAGGTTTTCACTCGTGCAGCAGGCGCAAAGGCTGCCATGCGAAAACGCGGATTATATTCTTATCTTTCGCGTTGCCGCCTGGTGCTTGTTTGTCGACAAACAAATTGTGAGCCATTCCACTCTGCGAAGGTGGTTGGCCAGCGAAGCTGTAAGGCTCCACCACAAATGATTCGCCAAGAGACGCACAAAAGCACTTCACCAAATGTTTATTTACAGTGTAACATTTTGAAACGGTAGTAATCATTGCTTTGGTGATCACTATGTTACACACTAATGGGTTTTATTACAAGTTTGGTGAGATTCTTTGCTAGAGTTAAATCTACACATATAATGCTTTACATATAAAAAAGCTGCTACTTTCATATATGTAAAGCAGTGACGTCACCTGACTCGAGCGGGAGGAGGGCTCATTGTTCTTGGATGTATCTCCATTATCACATGTTTCGATGTCTTTCCTTGTCATGAGGCATATCGAGGTGACGGGGCGTATATGCATTTCCGTACAGTGGAGCGCTTTTACGTGCAATTTAGTTTCTGCACATGGATACCAAAAATGCATGGAACCTTAGCCATATACATCTTCTCTGTGAAACAACATTCTCTTCAAAGTTCTTCCTCTCTTCTTTCTCGAAGGCTTTTCTACGGCTTTCTGAAAGCCTTAGAAAAGGAAAGATAGCGATGGCTAGAAACTAGACGACGCAGAACGCTGACGCCACCGCTTTCCGCTCTAGGAACAGAAGACGGAAGCTCTTGCTCGCTCTGATTCGAGGAATAAAGTGGGTACAGACATAGGCAGCTATCCTTTGTGCCTATTTGAAGTCACTGTATACTGGGAAAGTAGCGTCAAGCTCCCCGTGTTGTCACCATTTTGGTTCGTGGAATGAGCAGTTTGTCCTTGACCTCTCCGTTCTCGGGGAGCCAATCCTAATTCCCGGTGACAATCCTAATTCCCGGTGACAATTTGCTTTGTAAAGTCATTCCTTGAATATCGCGATTTTGTTAATCTAGAGATAAGCAAGATTAACTGATAAGTTGATTACATACACATTGCCAAAGACGCTTATATTGGCGAGGAACATTTTCATTATGATGATGCTCCATAGCGATCTTGCACGACTAAAGTCACTGGATCTGGGAAAGTAACGCCATTGCCTTCTCACCTGATAGCCGGACACAAACAAATACCAACATACAGACTCTCAAGGTGATTGGCTCGTCGCTGTCGGTTGCCATGGCGATTGCCATTTTGGACCCTTTCAAACCTTTGAGGCTTCGAAAGGGTCGTTAAAACCTGTCGCACCAAGATCGCTATAGAGCGTCATCGTACTGAAAGCGTTCCTCGGCCAGTATTAGCGCCTTTGGCAGTGTGCATGAAATAAACTTATCACTTACGCTTATTTCCGCAGATCTCTTACAATTATGTTGTTGTTCTTGCGTGTTTCAAGACAGTAAAATTATTTTTCAATGCCTCCAAGCACTGACGTTGCCTTAGATGGCGGTACGAAGATGTACGTGGACGAATTTTTTTGTACAGCTAGTAATTTAGTTAAGATACATTAGCTAACATTTTAATTATTTGTCTAACGGCGGAGGTGCGAATTGGAAAGTGGTGGAGCGCGTTGAGAAGCAGCCAATAAAGGTGTTTGCAACATGACACGCTTTGCGCGCTTCTTTTCTTGAGCCTACAAAGAAAGCCCACAAAGTATTAAAAAAACCCAAGTGACAACACGTCCTCGCGTCTACTAAGCGCGTCGCGCTTGCAGCGATTTCAGAAGTGCTTTGAAGGAACGAAGTCCACCTTATCACTGGGGCCCTGTCCGAGACAGGACTTTGTGTTTGTGCATAGGCTCCAAAGATAGGCGCGAGCACCCGCTGCCGCAAAGCCAGTGTTGGGAAGTACTTTAAGTAGTACATTGTGTCGTACTTCAAGTACTACTTCAACTAGGTTAAAAAAAAAAAAAAAACTTGTACTTCCCTACAGAAATAGCCAGTATAACTTTTCGCTATCTGGATTATAGAACTGGATTCTATCTGGATCTCAGGTTTTCAAAATTCCCTTGTCTGCAATCTAAATTTCACGAACAATTTTAGTTATACTTGTTTTCACCTCAAGAACGGTACGAAAAAATTCCGGCGTCTCGCGGAGCATTACTAATTTCCCTCTTTATGCTGAGAGTTGAGAGCCGCCTCGGTGGCTCCGAGGCGAAAGCGCCGGCCTACGAATCCCCATGTGGAGGGCTCGAATCCCGGCCGAGGTGCCTGCAATCTGACGGAGGCTTATTGGCCGTGTAACCGAGCTTTCGGTTGCACGTCAAAAGATCCCCAGGTGGTCCAAATTAATCATCAGTCCTACGCTATGGCGTGCCAGATGCCCGTCGTTGGTTTGGCACGTAAAACCCCCAAATTTGACTTTGATGCTGAGAATTGAGATATATGTAGGTGCATTATGTTACCTTATCAGGACGTACACGTTTCAAACGCCAAAAACATCGCTTCTGTCTCCGGCAACCAAATTTTCTAAGAACTCCTTTGCACCGCGCATGAACATTGAGCAAAACGTCCTTTTTTCTTGAGGTGAAAACGGGCATAGATTTCCAGTTCCATAATCCAGATAGGGAAAAGTTATACTGGGTCTTTCGATAGGGTACCTTGAAGTATATTATCTGAGTATGTACATGTACTTTGCATAAAGTTCTTGTTTTTTTGTTTTTCTTTCTGACACTTTTTGAGGAAAGCACATCTCCCGACTTCAAAGTACATTCTCCGAATTTGTACTTGTTAAATTTGCACCACGAAATTATGCTTTGTCAACCTCTAACAAAAATTGCGTATCGTCGTGTGAAGACGCGCTATAGTCTTTCGAGACGTCATCTGGTCATCTTTGTGTGTGAAGTAGTGGTGGTTATAAGACTGGATGCAGAAAAGTGCCGTATAAGTTGATTGTTTTAAATAGTTTATCAGCGAGAGTAAAATAGCTACTGTAGGACCACTTGATTTGATTCAATATTCGCCGCCATATCCGAAAATAACTGATGAACCAACGATTTCTTTGGAGTCACTGCATACCAATTAAAAAAAAAACGCTGTATAGGGGAATAAAAGGACATCTTAAAAGATTATGTTAAAGAAGTACTTGCACTTGACTTTGAAAGTACATTGTATTTTGTTGTACTTCAAGTACATTGCGCCCGGTGTACTTCTTTACTTGAAGTACATACCCTCTCATTTACTTTGTAGTTCAAGTAGTTTTTAGACGTACATCACCCAACACTGCGCAAAGCCATGTCTCGGAGAGTGCGTCAGTGATAAGGTGGATTTCGTTCCTTCAAAGCAGGTCTGAGAGCGCTGCAAGCGCGATGGGCGGGTACGTTGTCAGGTGGTCCTTTTTTTATATTCCGCAAGCTTCTTCTTTATGCAAAAACACACACACAAAGCGTATTATGTAGCAAACACCTTAATTGGGTGTTTTCTCAGTGCGCGCTACAACTTTCCAATTGACGCCCTGGCCCTTGAGCAAACACTAAGCTAGCTAATTAGTCTTAATTCATTAAAAAAACTAGGCGCACTAAAATTTCCTGCACTTTCGTATAAGACGCATGCTAACAACATGAGCTGGTTTCATTCCCGTAGAGGAGCGCTCCGATCTTTTTTAAAGATTGGTGCAAGTTATCTGGGACACCCTGTATATCCGATGACCCGGCATCGCAATCTTGGCGTGACATGGCTCAGAAGCGACGGTCTCGAAGCTTCGAAAATTCGAAAGGACCAAAATGGCGATTACCATGGCGTCACGTACCGTATAGCCAATCGCCTTTCCAGGTTTTAGTCGTCTTAGTACCTCTTTGTGTTCTGCTAGCAAGCGGGCGAAGGGAACGGTGCTACTTTCCCAGGATTCAGTGACTTTACCTGCACCTTCTGCACTAGAAGCAGTCGAACTTGCTCGCCCATGTATATGGTCACTTTTCGAAACCATAGCCCGGAAGCCCGGAGGAAGCCGAGCTGTTTGTCGTTTCCTTCGAAAAAAAAGAAAAGAGGTGTGACTCGGCGTATGGTCGCTAAACTATCTTTTTTGATCTGGCTTGCAAACGTTTTGGCCTTCGGCTTCAGCTCCTCCTCCCTCTTTTACCGCGACTTGCCGGTTCACTGTTCTGCCGTAATGTATGTACCTTGACGTACCAGATGCCATTCCTGTTTGCCCTCAGGTGGTACGGAGCGTGTCGGCGCTGCTGCGCTACTACAACTGGCGCAAGTTCAGCATCGTGCACGAGGACAGCGCCAACTTCGCCACCATCGCCCAGTCGCTGGAGCGGCAGGTGAACGCCGAGAAAGGTTTTACGCTGAACAGCAAGAGCGTGTTCCAGGGCAGCCTGCGCTGCTGCGAGCTCAAGAAGCCCTGCTGCCACACGTCCATCGCCGACATCCTGGAGCAGACCTACGCCAAGACCAGAGGTGGGTCCAGTAGTTCCTTAGACGTCTGGAATCTCTTCCGTCCCGCTATGGGGAAAGGTTTCCTTGGGGACAAATGAAAGCAACCGTTAGGTGTCAAGTGCCGACGTTGGGTATCAATCAAATCGCCGCAAAAACCTAACGGATGGACGCGAATTCGGACAAGCCACCGTAGAGAAAGTCGCTGGATCGGTGTACACTCTTTCATACAATCCCCCGGAACGGTCGCAAAAAAAAAGGACGTTCAGAATAATTGAAACGTCACAAAAAATACCACACCTGCTAGAAAAAAAAAACAAAAACAAATAAGGCCTCGCTTTTTTATTTTTTATTCTTACTTGGACACAGACACATGACGAACACCATGTGTTGTTGCGTATTTTACGTCATTTAAAGGTGCTGTTCTGTCGGCCCCTGTGTTTATTCTTTCCGTTTTATTTTACCTATATATATATTTTCCATTTCGTTCCTATTTTCTTCTCCATTCCTGTTTTATTTCTGCCGACGTCTCGGCGGAGAATCCTCGCTGATCGATATTTCGTGTTCACTTTCGGCCACCTGCTGTCTTTTGTGGTGGTGTTTACGTGCTTGCCCAAACATTGATTAGACGCTGAGTGAGCTCTACACTGGACACGGACATTCTCCGGTCGTCCTGCGGTTTGGCGTTGGTTTGTCGTCGAACGTGAAAGGAAAACACGGCATCGCGGAAATTCGGGCGAAGGGAAGTTCCGCTTAGCAGAGGATATACGAGATTAGGAGAAAGCGGCGAAGTGTTGCCGCCGCTGTTTTCTTTTCGCGCCCGTCCACTCTGCGACAACTTAGCGGCATCATGGGAACCAGAAGAAGCTCGCCACAGGCATGCACTCCATTCGCCTCTAAGTTGACAGAGCGGTGAAAGCTTCGTACTCGTTGGATGCGTCGATCTCTCACCCAGAAATGGAGGCGGCTGATTGGAGAAAATACCGTAAGGATGCAGGTGAGCGGGTGAATATTAACCATGTTGGATTAACCTGAGACTGGGGTATAGAGAAGAAACATGATGTTTCTTCTCTAACCCAGTCTCAGGTTAATCCAACACGGCTGATTGGTCCGGAGGCGAGCGCTCCCACCGTACTGTCAGCTTGGGTGCGCACGAGATATAGACCGTTGTACTGAAAGAAAGGGGAAAGGGCTACCGCGCTTTCCTCCTTGCTGGTGTGTTAGGAACAAGCGGAAGACCCGGGTGAACGCCTTGGACAGGTGGGTTGCTCCAAGTTCGCTTGTTTTCTTCGCGGTTTCCTCGATTTCTTTACTTCCAGATTTAATTAGAGCTAGCGAATTCACTGACGACAATCCCCTGGTCAGAGGGACACCATTTTTGGGTAATAGCCTGCACGTATGACAACCCAAAGTGCAGAATATTATCGAAGGGCATTGCTCACGGGATACGACAAGGCAACTGTGGCTGCAATCACTGGCGTAGCCAGATAATATTTTCGGGGGGTGTTCCAAGGTGCTGGTGCTGACACACACGCACACGCGCACACGCACACGCACGCACGCACGCACGCACGCACGCACGCACGCACGCACGCACGCACGCACGCACGCACGCACGCACGCACGCACGCACGCACGCACGCACGCACGCACGCACGCACGCACGCACGCACGCACGCACGCACGCACGCACGCACGCACGCACGCACGCACGCACGCACGCACGCACGCACGCACGCACGCACGCACGCGCGCGCGCGCGCGCGCGCGCACACACACACACACACACACACACACACACACACACACACACACACACACACACACACACACACACACACACACACACACACACACACACACACACACACACACACACACACACACACACACACACACACACACACACACACACACACACACACACACACACACACACACACACACACACACACACACACACACACACACACACACACACACACACACACACACACACACACACACACACACACACACACACACACACACACACACACACACACACACACACACACACACACACACACACACACACACACACACACACACACACACACACACACACACACACACACACACACACACACACACACACACACACACACACACACACACACACACACACACACACACACACACACACACACACACACACACACACACACACACACACACACACACACACACACACACACACACACACACACACACACACACACACACACACACACACACACACACACACACACACACAGTGCCTAAGATGCACTCATAAGTTTATTGGACGACGTTCCGAGCGGGGACCGCTCTTCGTCAGGTTATATATATATATTAGATAGATAGATAGATAGATATAGCAGGGTGTCGAACCGAAAACCGGAACCGAACCGGTATTTTTTCCGGAACTGAACCCGAACCGTTATATTGTTATCGCGATGAACCGGAACTGAACCGGAAAAAAATAACGGTTACCGGCTCATGTCAAAACGGTTCGGCCACGCGCTGTTGACAATGAATGTGCTATCAATGCCATTTGTTTTTTAAGTGCCTTCAACTGACACACACCTCGCTTACATATTTTTCTTCTCCACTCAGTCTTAGGAATATAAACGCTGCATCCATGAATCTTGACAAACGCTGCATTCATGAATCTTGACATAGGAACCAGTATTGCGCTGGTCGCGGCTTGCACGGAAAAAAGAAAATTGGAAGGCTGTGCAAAAAAAAAAAAAAATCGCGTCACGGGATTTTATTTTCCTACAATCTCGTAAATCCTAAATGCTGCTGTGTGCTCATTTCATAGCGCGTTTCTAGAACGCGCGAGTTCTTGAAGCTTGCTTCCATCGGAATGAGAAAAGAAAAGGCTGTGGAGTTTGATAATAATGCATCCGGTTTCGTATAGGCACTTAGAAGCTAACATATTTGTGAGACAGCGAACTCTTCTATTTTAATATTTATCCTATTACGTCCTTCTGGCGTTGCGTTCGGTGAAGTGTTTTTCATGTTCCGTATCTTGTTTTATGAAAACTTCTTTAAGGGTCTAATTTGAGTTACCGAAGGCTAGTTCAAATAAAGAAAGCTGTATTTTCTCCCCACTGTTCCTTCAATTGCTTACACGCCGAGGTGGCGGGATAGTTAGCGAGTTCTACTTGTAAGTGGGTTTGTAAGGAGGTCGCGGATTTTACAGCTACTGCGTCGGGCCCAATTAGATGAAGTCCGAATGCGTAAACGTCGGTGAGGTAACATTTGAGTGCACATAAAGAAACCATTCCTGGTAGAAATCCCTGAGCCTTACACTACGATGTATTCCGTTTCGTATGTGCTGATTTCAGATGTTTTATTTGTAATTTATTTTGATGTTGCAATTTGTCATTTATAATTTCCGAACCGGTTCGCGAACCGGTTCGCGGATCGTATTAATCAAACCGGAACTGAACCGGAACAAAATAAATTTACCTGAACCTGAACTGTAACCGAACCCGTATTTTTTTCGGTTCGACACACTGATATATATAGATATATATAAATATATATAGATATATAAGTAAATAAGTAAAATTTCGAGGAGTGTCCCAACACCTGAACAACCCCCCCCCCCCCCTCCCCCCCCCGGCTCTGCGCCTGGCTACGCGCCTGGCTGCAATGTCTTCAAACTTCATCGCTCTCCAAATGATCGAGACCTTCGGCGGCAGTGGGTGGCGTCCGTAAACCGAAAAGCTTTTTCCCCAAGGCGATCCTCTCGAGTGTGCTCGCAATATTTTTGTGAATGTGAACGCAAGGTGCCTGCAAGAAATTTTCTCGTGAGAATTGCTGTTTCACCTTGCAGTTTTTGGCAACTTAATTTTTCTTAATGCTGGTATTTTGCACTTGTGACATTGGCTCGATTTGATCATCTACCGGGTGTCCCAAATCGCGGCCAGGCTCTTCAAATTGACCGCGAAATTCGGTACCTATCGCGCTACGATATTGTGCAGCGTTGTCCACAGGTGGTGCATTTTTTTGTTTTGTAAAATTTGCAAAGAGCGAACTTACCTGAGGAAAAAGTAAAGAAAGAAAAAGGCTTAACTCATGTGGAAACGCAGCGAAGCCACCGGTCTTCAACCAATAGGGCTCCCTATTGTTTGAAGACCGGTGGCTTCACTGCGTTTCCATAGGAGTTAAGCCTTTTCCTTTTTTTACTTTTTCCTCAAATAATCGCTCTTTGCATATTTTAGAAAAAAAAAAGAAAAACACCGTCTGTGGGCAACGCTGCAGAAAATCGTAGCGCGATAGGTTAAGAAACCGAATTTTGCGGTCGTTTTGAAGAGCCTGGCCGCGATGAAGGCTCATTTCCGCCGCCGGGTGTGGATGGAAGTTGTTAAAAAGTTATTTCTGTCGGTTTCTCTGAATCGCGATCTCAAACGCCAAACGCGACTGTATTCTTCATATTTGGAAAATCAGTACACAATGTAGCTGGTAAGAAAACTTCAAGTTCTATTGTTGAAACATGCTCATGAATCGAAAATTTGAAATCATTGGGTCATTCATCAACTGGCTCCGGCAATAGGCCCATCTCGACTTTGCTGTTTTCAGTTCTCGACAAAAGACACACGACACGGTATCCTCAAATTTAAACTTTTATAAACATCTTCAAACCAGTGGGAGCTGCCTTCGGTAGTTCCCTGCAAGGTTCTCATTTTGGGGGTCCCTGTTCACAATATATTTCATTGTTGTGGACGCCACGAAACGCGAAAAATATTCTCTGTGCACTCAATCTCAAACGACAAAAAACCCGAGGGTAAATTCAATCGCTGTTAACTGGTACAATATTTTGAGTGCTCACCTCCGATCTCGATTTGTGACGCGTTCAGTGCCGCACATCTCGACATCGCCGAGCTGGCGGATGCCATAATGCGGGGCAAGAAATGTTCCAAATGAGTTGAAAAACGTCATCCGCGCCAGACAAGAACACAAGACGCGCCCCAAGTCGGATAACCAGCACT